TCTCAATAGATACAGAAAAAGCATTTCACAAAATTCAGCACCATTTTATGATAACAATGCTTAACAAAATAGGCACAGATGGGACTTACCTCAAAATTATTAAAGCCGTATACAACAAACACACAGCCAACATCATACTGAATGGGGGAAAATTGCAAGCATTCCCACTTAGAACTGGAACCAGACAAAGTTGCCCTCTATCACCACTTCTATTTAATATAGTGCTGGAAGTTCTAGCCAGAACAATCAGACAAAAAGGAAATCAAGGGTATCTAAATGGGGAAAGAAGAGGTCAAACTATCATTCTTTGCTGAAGATATGATCTTATATCTAGAAAACCCAAAAGATTCTGCCAAGAGGCTACTGGAATTGATAAATAAATTCAGCAAAGTCTGAGGTTACAAAATCAATGTACACAAATCAGTAGCATTAATATACGCCAAGAACAGTCAAACTGAGAACCAAATTAAAGACTCAATACCTTTCACAATATCAACAAAGAAAATAAAATACCTAGGAATATATTTAACTAAGGAAGTGAAAGACCTCTACAGGGAGAACTACGAAACACTGAGGAAGGAAATAGCACAGGACGTAAGCATATAGAAAACCATACCATGCTTATGGGTCAGCAGAATCAACATTGTTAAAATATCTGTACTACCCAAAGTAATCAACATATTCAATGCAATCCCTATTAAAATGCCAACATCATTTTTCACAGATCTAGAAAAAATAATTCTACTCTTCTTATGGAACCAGAGAAAACCTCATATAGCCAAAGCAACCTGAAACAAAAAGAACAAATTGGAGGCATCAATTTACCAGACTATAAGCTATACTACAAGGTTACAGTAACCAAAATAGCATGCTACTGGCACAAGAACAGAAATCTAGACTGATGAATCAGAACAAAGAACCCAGATATAAAATCATCCTCATATAGCCATCTGATCTTTGACAAAGTAGACAAAAACATACATTGGAGAAGAGAATCTCTATTCAATAAATGGTGCTGGAATATTGGATAGCTACATGTAGAAGACTTAAACAGGATCTGCACCTCTCACCACTCACAAAGATCAACTCATGATGATAACAGACTTAAACCTAAGGCATGAAACCATAAGAATTCTAGAAGAAAATGTTGGAAAACTATTATAGACATCAGCCTAAGCAAAGAATTTATGAAGAAGACCCCAAAAGCAATCACAGCACAACAAAAATAAATAAATGGGACCTGATCAAATTAAAAAGCTTCTGCTCCTCCAAAGAAACTGTCACAAGAGCAAATAAACAACCTACAGAATGGGAGTAAATATTTGCACCCTGTACATCCAACAAATGGCTGATAACTAGAATCTATAAAGAACTCTAGCAAATCAGCAAGAAAACATCAAGTAACCCCATTAAAAAGTGAGCAAATGACATGAACAGAAACTTTTCAAAAGAAGACAGACTATAACACATGAAAAAATGCTCAACATCTCTAATAATCAGGGATATGAAAATCAAAACCACCCATGAGATATCATTTAACTCCAGTGAGAATGGCTTTTATCAAAAAGTCCCAAAACGATAAATGTTGGCATCGATGCAAAGAGATAGGAACACTCATACACTGCTGATGGGACTGCAAACTAGTACAACCTCTGTGGAAAGCAATATGGAGATACCTCAAAGAGCCAAAAGTAGAACTACCTTTTGAGCCAGCAATCCCATTACCTGGCATCTACCCAAAGGAAAAAAAGACATTCTATAAAAAAGACATGTGCACTAACTAGAATGTTTATAGCAGCACAATTCACAATTGCAAAGATGTGGAATCAACCCAAGTGCCCGTAATTCATGAGTGGATTAATAAAATGTGGTATATGTACACAATGGAGTACTACTTAGCCATAAAAAGATGAATTAATACCTTTTGCCAAAATCTGGATGGAACTGCAGACCATTCTCCTAAGTGAAGTATTGTAAGAATGGAAAAACAAACACCACATGTACTCACTATTAAATTGGAACTAACTGATGAGCATACAAGTGCACAGAGGGAAGTAAAACTCAATGAAAAGCAACTGGGGGGTGAAGCGGAGTGGAACTAACCAACCTAATGGGTACTATGAACACTATTTGGGTGATGGGCACACATATAACCAGGACTCAAGCATTACAAAAATGATCCATGTAACCTAAAACATTTGTACCCTCTCAATATTTTGAAATTTAAAAAAAAGGATGCAACCAAAGAGCTTCTCACCACGACCAAATGCAAATCATGAGATACTGGACTTTGAGTCTGAAAGCATAATTGGATGAAGTTTTTGGAGGTCTTGGAAAAGACCGAGTGTATTTTGCATGAAGGAGGGGTATAAGTAATTATGGCCAGTGGGCAAATGTGGTACATTAAAATGGCTGTAAATTCTTTGCCTCTCTTACCATCCAGAGGTTGAGTCTATTGTCCCACTGCTTGGATTGACGTAGACTTGTTGACAAGTCTGGCAGTTATGCACTGGGTTTTGGCTGTGTGCCTCAGTTTTCCTCTATGTGGCCTCTCATTCTTCAGAGGCTAGGCCAGCTTCCTTGCCTGACAATATCAGGCATTCAATGTGGAAGAAAGTGGAAGCTACAAACCTTCTCAAGGCCTAGGCTCAAGAATATTCACAAAATTACTTTTGCCACATTTTATTGCATCAAAACAAGTCACAAGAACAGCCCAAATTCAAGAGGTGGAGATAAAACCACTGCTTCTTAATAGGAGGCTCTGCAAAGAATTTGTGGCCATACTTAATCTTGTACTATGGATGAGAGCCTTTCAAACTCTGAGAATTATTTTATTTTATTTTATTTTTTATGTATTTTATTATTTTTGAGACAGAGTCTCACTCTGTCACCTGGGCTAGAGTGCCGTGGCATTGGCCTACCTCATAGCAACCTCAAACTCCTGGGCTCAAGCAGTGGTCCTCCTGCCTCAGCCTCCCAAGTAGCTGGGACTGTAGGCATGCACCACCATGCCTGGCTAATTTTTTCTATTTTTAGTAGAGATGGGGTCTCACTCTTGCTCAGGCTGGTCTCGAACTCCTGAGCTCAAGTGATCCTCCCACCTCAGCCTCCCAGAGTGTTAAGATTATAGGTGTGAACCACCACACCTGGCCGAGAATATTTTAAATTAAGTGTAGAAATGTTTAAAAGAATGAAAATAATTTTTCTATTAAGAAGAAATACATTCTTCAAACAGAAAAAGTGAAAGAAGAAGGAATTTATAGGTTAAAAGATATTTAAAGGACATATCAGTTAATTGCAATGTGTGGACTTTATTCAAGTCCAGTTAGAAAATATAAACTATAAAAATAAACACCACATTTATGAGACAATTGAAAATTTTATTATTGACTCAACATTTGATGTTGCTAATGATTATTCCCTTTTAGGTATAATAGTATTTTACTGTATTTTTTAAAAGACTTTAAAATTTAGAGATACATACTGAAATATTTACAGATGAAATGATATGATATCTAGGATTTGTTTCAAAATAGCATGGAAGGTGGAGGGCTGAATGAGGATTGGGATAGGGCAGGATTGGTCATATGTGGATGATTTTTAAGGCTGGGTGATAGGTTCATGGGGGTTCCTTACACTATTCTGCCTACTTTTGTATATGTTAGGAATTCTCCATAATGACGTTACATTTTTAAAAGAAACTAAAAAAGAAAGACTCTGGACATAATGAGGATTTTATACACTTGTCATATTGAATAAAATTTGTTCTACTAGAATATAGCTCCAATTTAAAATGTGCAATTTGATAACTTGATTTAAATTTGATTTTACCAAGTAATTTTCTTAGGTTTACAGTAGAACATTTAAATATTGGTATTACAACATTTTAAGAGAATTTTTGATTTATCAGATTTATTTTAACTTATTACATTTCTCTTTTTTGTATTTTTTTAATTTAAGTAGATTTAGGGGATACAAGCAATTTTTGGTTACACGGCTGAATTGCACAGTGGAGAAGCCTAGGCTTTTAATATACCCGTCACCTGAACAGTGTGCATTGTACCCAATAGGTAATTTTTCATCCTGCACCTCGTTCCAACCTTCCCCCCTTCTGAATCTCCAGTGTCCATTAAGTCACTCTGTATGACTATGTAGACCCATTGCTTAGCCCCCATTTGTAAGTGTGAACACGCTTCCCACATTTGGGGAAATTGCAGGGGCCAGCACATCCAGAGAGCAATGGATAAGCCTTGTCCTGGGGAAACCACCTTTGTGATCATGGTGCCTCTTTTGCCAGGTAAATATTAATTTATTACATTTCTACGAGTTAAATAGGCATGTGAGAGAATTTTCTATAAAAGGAACTCAAATGTGTTAAATTTATAAAAGCAGTTTCAAATATTTGAAGACGTTTAATTACCTAAGTATGTAAATGGCACCAGATATTATTCTAAGGACTTTCAAAAGTGACTGCTAAAACTTGCTAAACTTAGAATAAGTTTAGGTTTGTAAGTTGAACTTAAAGCCTAAGGAAGAAGTTTTTTTTTTTTAAACTTTAATAAATCACACAGTAATTTTAACAACCAATATACTACTAAAAGGTGAAAAAAAATTTCTAGTCACCTGAAAACTACATGTAAGGATTAAAAGCATTGCAAGAAAAGAAATTTAAAAGTGGTTGATGTGAATAGTACCAACCATTTGTATTACAGCTACGTGCAATCTGGCTTCTTCTATTAAAACTTCATCTGTTGGGGACTCCTCTTTCTTGTTACTTGAAGTGCAGGAAAACTGAAAAGTATCAGACTAAGTTATAAAACATAAAGAGATAAAGTTTAAAAATAAGCAAAAATAATTAGGAACTGGCAAATTCTATACCCAAAAGGATTTCAATAACTCCTATCATAATTGCTGAAATTGCTAAAATAACTCCTATAAATTGCTATGTATAACTTGGATAATGTTTTTCCATATAAGAAGTGTTGCTTTCAACTGTGGTGAAGTAAATATTCATTTGGGGAGATTTAGAAGCCAAATTCTCCAAACCCATCTATGTTTGACTGCTTTCTAAATCAGCCTGTGTTGTCTGCTTTTTATGACACTTCTACAGGGAGAGATCTCTCATTACCTTCACCTATCGGAAACATCATCTTGCCAGAGACCATTAATTGATATTCGACCAGCCAGTTTGTAAAATCATCCATTCTCCTGTTACTTGGCAAATAAGCTTGAATTACCAAGACCTTCTCTTTAGAGACAGAACTCAGAGAAGTCATTTCACCAAAATAGCAAAGCTAGTAATATCTCCGCTCAGTTTTCTGACCGCTGAATCAGGTTTTTTACAATAGAATAAAGCAAGAGAGCCAGACAAAGGAAAGGAAAGGAAAGGAAGACTATTTTTTGCCAGGTATCAACTCACGGGAATGATATATTCAATGTTTGTTTTTTCTTCTACGAAAGTCCAATTAACATTTGTCAACATTTTTTCTGTTTTAGATAAAGTTATTGTGTTTTGTATCATCTCCTGTATATGCTGACTGACACTTTCGATGGCCATTTGTCTTGGGAGAGAAATAGCACACAAACCTGTAACAAAGACAAGAAAGGCCCTTTATAGTGAAGACTGCAAAGGAAAGCAAAAATTGTTGCATGATTATGCAGTGAAATCTTGACATCACTTGCATAGAAAAACCAGAGTGGTTAGAATAAGGACGATTTTTGTCCAAAATTTTCTAGAAAACTACCCAATGGCCTGTTTCCTTTTGGCTATATAGCTCAACTTTATCGAACTCAACTACTAAAGAATGTTTATTAGTTTCCTTTCCTTCCCTATAGCTGAAGACATGACTTATTACTTCAAGGCACCCAATCAGTATTTCTCAAAGTGTAGAAAAATATTTGTGTCTTCTACAGGTAGAAGGGCTGCTTATTAAACTATGCAAATTCCTGGGCTCCACCTTATACCTACAGAATCAGATTGGCCTGGGAATTTGCATTTTAACAAGTTTTACAACTGCTTCTCATATACGGTATCTCAAAATTTAAGGGCCACTGGCTGGGCGCGGTGGCCCACGCCTGTAATCCTAGCACTCTGGGAGGCAGAGGCGGGCGGATTGTTTGAGCTCAGGAGTTCGAAACCAGCCTGAGCAAGAGCGAGACCCCGTCTCTACTAAAAATAGAAAGAAATTAATTGGACAACTAAAAATATATAGAAAAAATTAGCCGGGCATGGTGGCGCATGCCTGTAGTCCCAGCTACTCGGGAGGCTGAGGCAGAAGGATCGCTTGAGCCCAGGAGTTTGAGGTTGCTGTGAGCTAGGATGATGCCACGACACTCTAGCCCAGGCAACACAGTGAGACTCTGTCTCAAAAAAAAAAAAAATTTAAGGGCCACTGCAATACAGATTCCTCAAATTTGACAACTCTGTTTCCTGACCAGAAAATCTGTATGTTCAAAATTTGTAACCCTTTGTATTTTCTTGAGGTATGAGTTTGAAGATAATAGCTATGAGACTCGCTGGCCAAAGGGAAGGATTTAACTAGCAAATGAGCTTAGCCTATTCATTCACGATTCCATCTCAGTAAAGCAGTTCTCTCTTTGTAATTGCATATGAAATATCTCTTAAAGAATTAAAATGGTTTCTGAATGTTTCAGTTTAACTTTGTTTCCTTCTCCATGGGATACTGTGTGCAATTGAGGTGTCTGAAATTTGGGGGATTTAGAAAGGTTTGGAGGCATATCCCTCTCAAGTATCAGGACCAGTTCTCTAAGACCCAGAGCAAAGATGCTGAAGAATCAGCAGTTGTTAGCTTGCTAGCTTTAGATTTAAAATTCTCATGGCTAAGACTACAAGCGAAGAAAATGTATTCAGTTGCCCAAGTAGATCCTTCCCATATGATGAGGCAACAGCCACTTTCCAGTTGCTCCGGGGAAGCATGAGTGTTTGCGGGCCACTTGGTGGCACTGGTACATCTGAATGCACTCCCGGTGTTTGAGATGATCCTGGAGGAATATGAGGAGGGGTCTCTTAAAAGCATTTAGACCAGATGGAGCTGGCTGGTTTGAAACTCTTACTGATAAAATTCAATTCTGTCAAGTTCCTGTTAAATGTGTGCCACACATAGTATGTCTAGAAAGGGTGAGCATTCATTCCGAAAGGATAAAGTACTTGCTGTGTAATCTTTGTTCCATAATGAACAGAAAAAAAGAAATTGAGGGAGAAAATTCTGAAGTTTAGTTAGTACAACCAAAATGTTATAGGGCGGGAAAAAAAAAGAAAAAAAGCATTACCGTGATAGTAAAATTCCTTGTTGATCTCACCTTTGAGTATCAGAGTAGGAGGAATTACAAGAAAGCTAGCATGGGAGAAACCCAGACATTATATCTTAAGCAAAAAGAGCAGAATGGGTCTGGATCCCCGGGAACCAAAGGAATTTGGTGGGAAGGAAGGTGTGAGCAAGCCTTCTGGAATCACATTAACTGCACTCTCGCTCCAGTGTGGACTGTTGCTGATTCAAGCACACCTTTTCACTGCAAACAAGAGCAAACCCGTAATTTGGGAAAAAGGAAAGCTGTCAAAAATCTTCCCCATTTGCTAGCCCCATTTATACATTAGAGCCCTTGGCTTTGAGGTGGGCTGTCACAGGAGGTTCTGCGATAGTATTTATGGGACCCAGCTGCAGGAATGGGCGGGACTGTCTGAAAAGACACAAGCAAAGCGATGATGTCTCTTAATCAGGCTATTTCCCTACTTGGAACTCTCCCTCAACACCATCCTTCCTTTGCTCTCATTAGTTCTATGCTCTAGAGTTCTATGCTCTAATTACTAATTTGGTTTATCAAGGAAATTTATATTCAGAGATGAACGCTCTGCTAATATCACAAGTATTTCAGACATGGAAAAAAATCCTCACTACGAATTAGTAAATTGATTTTATGGTTTATCCATGAACATGGTGAGTGTGTTATGGGTGTACCTTGATTCATTGTGCTTCACTTTATTTCTATTTATTTATTTATTTGTTTATTTATTTATTTATTTTAGTTTCAGAGTATTATTGGGGGTACAAATGCTTTGGTTGTATATATTACCTTTGCACTGCGTGAGTCAGAGCTACAAACATGCCCACTCCCCAGACTACACATATCGCAACCCTTAGGTGTGGATTTACCCATCCCCTCCTCCCCGCTCCCACCTACCCAACACCCTGTGAATGTTACTTCCCACATGTGCACATTAGTGTTGATCGATTAATACCAATTTAATGGTGAGAACATGTAGTGCTTGTTTTTCCATTCTTTTTTTTTTAACATTTTTTTTATTTCAGCATATTATGGGGTACAAATGTTTAGGTTACATATATTGCCTTTGCCCCACCCGAGTCAGAGCTTCAAGTGTGCCCATCCCCCAGACGGTGCGCACCGCACCCATTAGGGGTGAATATACCCATCCCCTCCTCCCCCCTCCCACCTGCCAGACACCTGATGAATGTCACTACTATATGTGCACTTAAGTGTTGGTCAGTTAAGTCAGTTAATACCAATTTAATTGTAAGTACATATGGTGCTTGTTTTTCCATTCTTGTGCTTCACTCACTTTATTGTGCTTTGCAGATACTGCATTTTTAACAAATTGAAAATTTGTGGCCAGTCATCAGTGATTTTTTATGTTACTATTGCAATTGCTTCAGGGTGCCACAAACTGTGTCTACATGAGACAGCAAACTTAATCAACAAATGTGTGTGTTCTGACTGCTTCACCAACTGGCCTTTCCAATCCCTCCCACCCTCCGTACCCCTCCACCTCTTCTCTCCCTCTGCTCAGGGCTCCCTATTCCCTGAGACAAAACAATATTGAAATTAGGCTATTTAATAAGTCTACAATGGCCTCTAAGAGTTCGAGTGAAAGGAAGAGTTGCATGTTTCTCACGTCAAATCAAAAGCTGGAAATGATTAAACTTAGTGATAAAGGCACATCAAAAGCCAAGATAGGCTGTAAGCTAGTCATCTTGTGCAAATAGCCAAGTTGTGAGTGCAAAGGAAAAGTTCTTGAAGGAAATTAAAAGTATTCTTCCAGTGAATACATGAATGATAAGAAAGCAAAACAGCCTTGTTGCTGATATGGAGAAAGTTTCAGTGGTCTGGATAGAAGATCAAACCAACCACAACATTCCCTTAAGCTAAAGCCTAATCCAGAGCAAGACTCTAACCCTTTTTAATTCTATGAAGGCTGAGGGAGGAAGCTGCAGAAGAAAAGTTGGAAGCTGGCAGAGGTTGGTTTATGAAATTAAAGGAAAGAAGCCATCTCCATGACATAAAAGTACAAGATAGGTAAAGCAGTAAGTGCTGATGTAGAAGCTGCAGCAAGTTATCCAGAAGATCTAGAGAAGATCATTGATGAGAGTGGCTACACTAAACAACAGATTTTCCATGTTGACAAAACAGCCCTCTGTTGGAAGAAGATGCCACCTAGGACTTTCATAGCTGTAGAGGAGAAGTCAATGCCTGCTTTCAAAATTTCAAAGGACAGGCTGACTCTCTTGTTAGGGGCTAAAGTAGCTGGTGACTTTAAGTTGAAGCCAATGCTCATTTGCCATTCCAAAAACCCAAGGGCCCTTAGGAATTATGCTAAATCTACTCTGCCTGTGCTCTATAAATGGAACAACAAAGCCTGGATGACAGCACATCTATTTACAGCATGGTGTACTGAATATTTTAAGGCCACTGTTGAGACCTGCTACTCAGGAAAAAAGATTCCTTTCAAAGTACTGCTGTTTACTGACAATGCACCTAGTCAGCCAAGAGCTCTGATGGAGATATACAAGGAGATGAATGTTGTTCTCATGCCTGCTAATACAACATCCATTCTGCAGCCCCTTGATCAGGGAGTTATTTCAACTTTCAAATCTTATTATTTAAGAAATAAGTTTTATAAGGCCATAGCTGTTACAGGTAGTGATTCCTCTAATGGATCTGGGCAGCCAATTGAAAATCTTCTGGAAAGCATTCACCATTTTAGATGCCATTAAAAGCATTCATGACTCATGGGAGGAGGTAAAAATATCAACATTAACAGGAGTTTGGAAGAAGCTGATTCTAACTCTCATGGATGACTTTGATGGGTTCAAGACTTCTGTAGAGGAAGTCACTGAAGATGTGGTGGAAATAGCAAGAGAAGTAGAATTAGAAGTGGAGCCTAAAGATGAGACTGAATTGCTGCAATCTTATAAAACTTGAACGAATGAGTTGCTTCTTATGAGTGAGCAAAGAAAGTGGTTTCTTGAGATGGAATCTACTACTGGTGAAGATGCTGTGAACATTGTTAAAATGACAACAAAGGATTTAAAATATCTCATAAACTTAGTTGATAAAACAGTGGCAGTGTTTGAGAGGATCGACTCCAATTTTGAAAGAAATTCCACTGTGAGTAAAATGGAATCAAACAGCATCACATGCTACAGAAAAATCTTTCATGAAAGGAAGAGTCAATTGATGCCACACACTTCACTGTTGTGTTATTTTAAGAAATTGTCAAAGCCTCTCCAATCTTCAGCAACCACCACCCCGATCAGTCAGCAGCCATCAACATAGAGGCAACATCCTCCACGAGCAAAAAGATTAGGACTTGCTGAAGGTTCAGATGATCATTAACAATAAAGTACTTTTAATTAAGGCATGTAGGTTTTTTAGACATAATGCTATTGCATTATAATAGACTACAGTATAGTGTAAACATAACTTTTATGTGCAGTAGGAACCCAAATAGTTTGTATGACTATTTTTTCTTTACTGCAATACTCGCTTTAATACAACACTCACTTTCCTGCCGTACTTGCTTTACTGTGGTGGTCTAGAACCAAACCTGCAATATCTCCAAAGCATGCCTGTACATGTGAATCTCCAGTAGTCTGATCAATTTTAGATACCTGACAAAATCAGGTCTCTACACCAGCAAGGTTGAGGACCAAGTCATGGCACATGGGACTATACTAAACCCTACCATAAAATTTTGCCTAATCCTCCCCTGCTAGCTTTTCCCTCCTTGACCCTACTGCCATGGATTACCTTATCTTTGGTTTCTCTGCTGAATGTGTCTATTTGTGGTTTTATTACATTTATGCATTTTTATTATGAACAGCCTCAAACTCCTTTTAGAAACAGGCAATTGTGGCAAAGCCTGCTGATTATCCCCCCATGTCCATTCTGTCCATCTTGCTTTTACCAACAGAATATCCAAGGTTTGGCTGAGCACATGGCCAGCCAGGAAAAGATAATTTCCGGTTTCCTTTGCCCTCTGTGCCCTCATGACTAAGTTCTGGCCAATGGAATGTGAGTGATGATGACACAGATAACTTCTGGAGCGTGCCCCTAAAAGAAAGCTGCTTATCCTCCTCTGCCACACACCCCTCTCCCCACCATTTTCCCTTTCTAGTTAATTGGATTGTAGACATGGTGGTAGTGAGCAGACTTCTACCCTGCAGACAAGAGCAACACCTTAGGGAATGGAGGAACAACAAAGAAAAGGAATCTGGATCTCAGGACAACCTCGTGGGGCAGAACCATCTCACTCTTCTGGACTTCTTGGTGGAAGGGAAAGAAAACCCCCATCTTGTTTAAGCCTCTGTTCATTTGGTTTCTGTTAAACTGGCTGAACCAATATCCCAATTACTACAGCATCTATATATAATGAGTGAACGAAAATGAATAATTTCTAAACCAATTCCTTGAGCTCCATAAGAAATGTCCCCATGACTCCCAACAATAACCTATTTGCATTATTCTCCCCAGTTAATTTGTGCATACTTACCTAACGTCTTGGCCGACCTAATCATCAGGTATGAATTTATTCCCATGGTCAGTAATGATACTGCTTGCACATAGAATATAAACTAAAAATAAAACACATTAAATGGTTAGAACCAAAACATTAAATAAGATCTCCAAAGGTAATCATTGTTCAATCAACCACCAACAAAACTTTATCTTAATCCACATTTTTCAATCCGGCCCCTGATAAGTAAGTTGAGGCCAAAGGGCTATTTTGTGGACATTGCTTGAACATAATATACTGGGGCAGAAATTAATTTTCACTCTGAATGAGGAAAAAAATACATCATGTAGATCCTGGGTTAAGGACACTGAGGGAAGAGCTCTCTACAGTTTCCACTTTCGGCAGCAGCCACGCAAGGACGGCAAGGTGGCAGCCATCACAGACATGACTATGGAACCTGCAGGGTGGGGAGAAAGCTCAGCAACAACAGGCAGGGGTGACCGTGGACAGGAGAGGGAGGTGTGCCTGCCACCGGCATTTACTTTAGCTGTACAAGAGGCTCTGAAGGAGCAGGCAGGAGCCATGGTGGGGTCTGGAGAGGTGCCAAGCAGCAGCAGAAAGACAACCACTTTTATAGGTTGTGGCTGCGCTATTTTTTAGCCATGTGATTTGGGGTGAGTTAACCATTCTGAGCCTCATGTCCTTCACTGAAAAATGGAGTTAGTAGCAGTATCTTCTCCAGAGGGACAGGTGGTCTTAAGTTCATATTATTCAAGTGGTTTTCTCCCTCCTAGAAGGAGGTTTGGGGTCTATCTGACCGGGAGGTAGCGGGAGGCTGATCCTGGGGATTTCTAGCAAGTTCTCCAACTAGCTCACACAGTACTGTCACAAATGACGAGGTACCCTAACACACAAGGTGGCCAGTGGATGCACAGGGCTCCCTGGATCTTGCCCGGAGTGTCAGGACCACAGATGCTGCCACCACCAGACTGCCCAGAAATCCACCGGCTAACCCATGGGAAAAAGGTGTTGAGAAAGAGTAGAAAGGAAACATAAGTTTTGTGTTTCATTTCACTATAGATAATGGAGTCTTCAGCAAGAATTTTCTAAGAAATTAATTTTTTTAAATTAGCCCTAAAGACATAAATATAACTAGATCCTTACTTCGAATATTTACAAAATCTTTCTTCTCTTGGTATATTTAACTAGTGTTTCAGGTTTTGTTCTAACAGCTACGGGATTGGAATGTTCTCAGTAAAGATGTTATTTTTTTCATGCTTTCTGACAGCCACGGAAAAATCGCATTTGTGTCAGGTGTTTTACTATGCATCATCTCAATCCACAACTAGAAACTGAGGCTCAGCAAGGCTGGTGAACTTCCCCAAGGTCCCCAGCCTGTGAATGGTAGAGTCAGGATTGGCGCCCAATTTCATCTAACACCCAAGTCTGCAACCACTACGTGAGTATTGGTCCCTTTCATGCTGTCAACATAAATAAATTTTCTACTTAAAAGAATGCATTTTAAAACTCTAATTCAAAACTGGTTAACTTTATTATTGAATACTTTGACAAGTGCTACAAAATAAGTAAAAATGAATAAAAAAAAAATCATGACACATAATTTTCCCTACCATTTGTGGTGTATCTACTTTTTCTTCGGCCAGATTATGAATATCAGGAGCCAAGAGCAGACTAACAACTCCTCTAATTCCAGACCATGCGATAACAACTCCGCATCGCCAATTATATTCATAACTCGAACACATCAAAATAGGGCTCACTAAGAAAATAGTAAGCAATCTGTGGAGAGAAAAATGTTAAAAACAAACAAATCACACCTTATATACTAATGTTATTCACAGTTGAAACCATGTACTAAATACTAAATTTCATAGAAAAATTTTCAGAAAAGATAAAACAATGCAGTTTATTGATAATTCATTCAAACTTCATGGGACTAATCAAATCTGTTATCTAAATTTTGCATGTAATACTCAAGTCTGGAAAAATAATGCTAGAAATTCTAAACAAATATAAGGAAGTATCACTAACACCAGTATGTACTGCTTAGATTTGGGTAATACACTTCTGCAGGGAAACCTCTTCAAAGAATGTTGACAAGCTCTTCTATTCCCCAAAAAGCCATAAAATGACTGAATTCAGGGGGTATGTAGATCATAACCAAAAGCAAAATTATTGTAGACACATTAATAAACTTAACCCAACAAATTTTTCTTGAGCTCCCATAAGAATCATACACTAAATGCCACATGAATAATTTCCATTTGTGCCTTCTTGCTCTCCAGATCATTTCTCTATAGGACCTTGTGCCAAAATTTAAAATCTATCTTTAGGAGATATGCACTGAAAGAATATCAGTACAGTAGTTCAAATGATTTAGAACAAATGAAACTTTGGCAAAAGTAAAATCAGACACGTTCTTAGCCTCAAAAAGTTTATTGCATATCAGTTGCTCAGCTAGGAATTATACAAGTCAATTTAGAGAATTCCTATCATTGAGGAACAGAAAATCTATAATCACTACCTATAATATATATAATTAATTTGGGCAAACTCCTCTGCCTTCCATTCAAGCCTTTTGCAAAGTGACTTTTAACCAACCTTTTTTAGCCTTACTAAATAATCTTTCCCCAAAATATCAGAGTCCAGCAAAAATAGGACAACTTATGTCATTTCCTGATATTAAAAACAGGGAGGCAGCGTAGAAAAGCCTCTGAAGTCAGTCTACCTGCGTCAAATTTAGGCCTGCCATTTACCAACCACATAAACCTAAGCAAGTTATTTAACCTCTCTCAGCTTCTTCATCTGCAAAATGGAGATGATGATAATAATAATTGTACTTGCCTCAAAGGATTATTGTGACAATTAAATTAAATGAGGCAATACTCATAGGGTTTAGAATCATGCTTTGTATGTGGTCAGCACTCAATACATGATCAATACATAATCATAATTGCATATGGTATAATTATGTATCAACATATAATACTCAATTAGCAATGATTATCATGTCCATGCCTTCCCATTTCCTTGTCATGTCTCATCCTCTCTGAAGTGTTTTTCTCAGTAAGTCTCTATGGAAAGCCCACCCATACATTTAGGGCCCACTTAATGATGATTCTGTCACCAAAGTCTTTCCTCTAGTGAGATGGAGCCATTATTCCAGCAAGATCTCTGGCTCTCATTAGCCATTTGACCTTGGGGAAGGTACTTAGCTTTTCTTGGCCAATTTCTTCATCTATAAAACTGGGGTAATAATTCTCATCTCCTAGTGTTGTTATGAAGATGAAATGAGGTTATAGATGTATAGCTGAGTCAAGCAATGTGCAAAATGCCATGTATCTTTCTTTATACTCTATGACAAATCTCAGTTTGCACACAAGTTTCCATGGTAGAAATAAATGTAAATTTTCAAATTACACAACTTAGTCTCTTCTAGTTTAAAAGATTCTTTGGATTTGCCTTGTTTTTGCCTGTGCAAATAGTCAATTCAAAGTTCCCTATAAAAAGCAGTTTCGCCTATTTCCCAGGATGTTTCCCTCTTTCCTGCATTTCCAAGACAGGGCCTGGCTATAGGAGAAAATTAACACAGCTCATGGCATCAGGGAGAAGATTGCAGAGAACTGTCTATTGATGTAGGTGTCTTGAGCTACTTGTGTTTGGCCTTTGGTTCCTGTTCTCGACACATTGACTGGGAAGTATCCTTGGTCTATTTTTCTCAGCAAGGCCAACGTATGGTATTATAATTGCTCAGATTGTCTCACTATCTCCCCCTGTCAACTAGACCTCCCACCCATAAGCACTGCAGATCCCTTGAGGTCTGCTGCCTTTCCCATTTGACCCTAGGTTTGGATGGTCTCCCATGCAGTCCTCAAACTCAGGGTCATTTTGGTGGCCCCCTCTAGCAAACCCGCCGAGTATCTCTTAATTCCCCACAGAATAGAAAAGAACTTCTGGACCTCTCCCATGTCATGAAGGGATTAAGTAAGAATCAAAGGCCCTAATCTCAGGCTTACTCTCTACTACCAAACTGACCATTTCTACTCAGTAGCATTAGCCCTGCACTGGGCCGTTATTAGGCTGCGCTTTCTCAGATTTCCAAACAGGAGGTGGGATGGGGGTGGGGTTGAGGCCAAATGGCATCCCCACCCTAGTCGCAACTCCCTCTAATCTCTCCCTTTTCAGCAACAGTTCTACTTCCTTTCTTGTTTTCCTATCCTCCATCATCTATACTGTGGCATAAAATAAAAACATATAATCCTAAACTACCAAGCTTGTCTCTTGATATTTAAAAAAAGGTACTTTCAGAATTTAGCAAAGTATTCTCATCTTCAGCAAAGCCTGGCTTTCAGGACTGTTATCTCATTGTGGGGTTTCAAAAATATTTGGAAATCAAAAGCTGAATACAGACTCCTGCCTTGTTTTGGCATTCCATTACAAAATCTTAATAGTCTTTCTTTTGGCTATCCAGAGGGAAGGTCATACATAAAGAAGTAAAAAAAAAAAAAAAAGAAAAGAAAACTCACCAATATATTACAGAAAGCACACCCCCTTTTACAGAGGACATTATGGCATTCCACCTAGGCACCCTCATCAGGGCTGACATTCCATCCCCCACCTGGTAGGAATTTAAGGATTTAGGGGGCCCTCGTGGCTCTGTCCCTCACTGCACATTGCCCTGGCACTCAGGAACCTGCCGCACTCGAAGTTGTTTCTCTGTCAAGAGATGGCCCTTGGCCAACGACTGCATGAGGCAGGGATACAGGGCCTGATCCCTTGTCTTGATGTGGGACAACTCCAAAAGCCCTCCCCACTCACAGCTTCCCAGCTTTCCCTGAGCTCAGCGGAGCCTCAGGTGAAACTGTGCTGTGGGTCAGCTTCTCCCTGTGCCCGGTGCTGCCTCCTCACTCACCCAATACCTTCTGCCACAGTCTCCCAACTCTCTCTCTCATAATCTGTTTCCAGGAAACCCAATCTATGACTCCTTTGAATATGTAACTCTGGCACCGAGTGGGCATTCCATAGAATCCCACAACTAGCTATGAAGCCCCATAATGCATTTCTTAAGCCTCCCTTATGAAGCTTATCTTTCCTCCTGTTCCAGTTATTTATATACTTATCCTTCCAACTATATGGTAAACTTCTTGAGGAGAGATTCTGTCTGTGGCCCTTGAGACTTCAAACAGCAAGACCTATTGTGTTTATAAAGTTACTCCTCTTAGGTGAAGAGACATGAGGTTGCTGTTTGCCTGGAATGGAGGTGGGGGTGAGAGATATCACCAGAGACCAGTGGAAAAAAGCACCATATTCTTTGGCTTCTAAGTTGAAAGGCCATTTATGTTTTTAAGGCAAGTTTGCATAGCTGTACAACCAAGAGACCTGGAAGTAGAACTGGCTAAACCAGTAAGCTCTGCCCCCAGACTAAAAAGTTGCTAGGAAACAGTGTCTCTATGCCACCCTCGGTTTTAGGATCTGGGGAGGAGGAAGGGAAAGAGAAGATACGGGAGGACATTCCCTAATTGTAAGCAGTGGTGACTGACATGCTGTTTTCCCACTAAAGTGAAAGCCTGAATAATTCCTATCGATCTAAAGTCAGGGACTCAAAGGGGAGAACTTCAAGTGGGAGAACCTTGTCAGAGAAATGTGGGGTCCTGCCGATGACTGCAGTACGAATGGGAGGTCTGACAATCTCTTGGGAGTTTCACCAACCTGAGGGAGTTGGATACAACAGAGTCCTGACTAGAGCCCCTGTCCAGAGAACAGCCTTCAAGGACATCAACTACTGGTGCCAGAACAGGATTGGCCAGATAAAAAGGAGATCACTAGTCCCTTCCCATTGCCACCATGACTGGCCAATCACACAAGAACAAGATCAATCACCTCCACCGCCCCCACAAGGACCGAAGGACTGACCGATCACATAAGGGATCCACCCCCCCATCCCTTTTAGTGCCAACCCAAGGGTCGAAAAGAACAATATCAGAGGTGGCCTCATATATGTCTATGACATACTAGACCGTAACTAACTGGCCTGAGAAGTCCCTGATTGAAATGAATTTACCTAATTGTAGGTAACCGGAATCCACCAGGGTCCACTTCAGAGTCACATAGTAAAGCCACTTCTAAAAACTGGTGCTCAAACTTTAACCGCCTAGAGAGCAGGTTAAAACTGTTTCCTGGATCTCGTCTTTAGAGATTCAATTCAGTAGGTTGGGTTGGGCCCATGAATTTGCATTTCTATCAAGCTTATGGGTGATGCCAATGCTGCTCGTCTACCCTTTCTCGTTTTATGGATGAAATCTTGAAAAATAAACACTTACCGCGAGTTGCACAGCAAGCTTATTGTCAAGGCCTTGGCAACAATGCAGGTTTCCTGGCTCCACGGCTGGGGCTCTCTTTGCTATACCCCACTGATTCCCAATTCTAATTCTGGGCTTGACAACCTAAGTTCAGTCAACAGACTTTAAAATACAATTCTTACCTAGCCAAAGTCACTGTTGCAAATAAGATGAATGTGAAAACTATGGTGTGAAAATTATAATACTTGGTTTCTCCACATCCAATCACAATGCCAAAGAAAGTATATATTAAATGTTGGTATACAGATGAAAACATCACTAAGAACCTAGGATGAATGAAAAGGAAATGAGATTTTTAAGCATTGTATTTGAAAAATATTTTCCTTTTCACATAAAATCATGTATCTTATATCTACCATTCTTGCCTTAGCAGAGGCTCCTGCCTTTGTCTCTGTTACAGTAACATTTAAAAGTATTTTGTTGGATCTGAAAACACCCAGTTCCATAGTCTCCATTACCCTCATCATACCAATACCCATGGGCTGCTTCTGACAGCAGAATAGTGATAGCAAGGCAGAAAAATGAGGACCTCCCCAAGTTGATGATTTATCCGTTTCTCTGGGATTAGCTGGCAGCATGTCAACTGTTGCACCTGCCACAGCTAAGCCCAGAGCTGGGGTTGCTGCAAGGAGGTACCTGGTTGACCTTGACTTTGCCATAACTGACAGGAGCATCTCAATGCCCTCTGCACAACTTCTCCTTCTGTGACTTGCACGTGCTCTTCCCCTTACTTTGAAAGCCTCTGCTGTCTGCTTTCCCATCTACTGTAAGGCTAATGCTAAATTCTATGTTGTCCATGAAACCATCTCAAGCACTCTTCTGAATCCTACAGTGCCAAATGTCTGCACCACCATGGTTTGTATGCAGAAGAAAGCATTAGAATCATCCAGATTGTATTCTAAATATCTACACGCCTAGCCCCACCCCAAGAGATTCTTACAGAATGACCAGAGCCCAGTGGTGAGGGCCCTGGCTGAGGCCTCAGCAGAGCACGTGTTCTGCTCTGCCTGGTTCCGTGTCAGGGCCAGGTCTGAGATCTACAGGCGATCTCAAGGCCTCCTGTCTCTCAATCGTCCCTCTCACGACTTTCCCTTTCAGCCTACTAGGTGAGTGTGTCTGCCCCATAAACCAGTGTCCTTACAGGTGGGTCTCAAGAGCTACGCTCAGAAAGAAGCATTAGGAAGCCTCATTTTCGCTGCAGATACAAACCACGTTCTCTGAGACAGCATTACCCCAGTCAAGGAGATCCTTGATTCTTTGGGTGATTCCTCTCTCTTGATTCATCTGCTTCAGAACTCCCACAGGGCAAAGGCATGAGTGGGGGGACCCCAAACCCCAGGGCTTAGTTTTCTGAAAATTCAGAAGTCATGGAATAACCGAGTGAGTTGAATACTTTTTAAAATCTCTCCACAGGACCTAAAAAATGCCTTACATATAGGAGGATCCCAATAAATACATAATTATTCACATGTACCATTACTTTCTTACATAAATATGTCTGCCACTTAACAATGAGCCCCTTCCGAGAAGGGTCTTATTTTCATAGCCCCAAACCTAAGATGCAATATCCAGACCACAGCAGACATTTAGAAAGGATTGGCTGAATGGATAAAAGAATGAACAATTGAGAGAATAAGTAATTTACAATGATGCTGACAGAAAGCACGACTGAGTTCAGGAAGCTGTACAAATTCAGACACAACACCAAGTGTATGTTCTGTGAACTAGTTATTTCCAAGCTTTTGGATTCTAAAAATCAGTAAAGTCGTATTCACAGACACACAAAACTCGGATAGTTATAGATGCCAATTTGATTTTTTTATTTTGCTAAGTAGAAAAGGAAAGTACCATCTTCTATCACTGGAATTTCATAAAAGAAAGGACATTTTGAACAACAAAAAAGTATGAAGAACATAATTTCAAAGGAATGGATAGTCCTTTACATTAAATAAATTAATTTTCTTGGGAAAACTCAGGATTATGGCTTATTTTTCTCATTTCGACATTTGCTTTCATCTGACGTGAGAATCTCCACACTGGACTATGATTTGGTGCCCAATAATTCTGAACAAATTCTGTAATTCATCATAGTCCCTCAGAGAATGGCTAATTTATTGTCGGAGAAGACAGGCAAATGGTTTTCCCTCTGTGTGGAGATGTCCACGTGACAATTTGCGTCACCAGGAGTAAAGGGTAGGTAGAAGCTTTGCTGGTGTTGTGTCTTTTTGCTACTTCTCTTTTCCAGCTTTTCCCATAATAGTATACTATCATTCAGGTACGTTATGAAGGAACCAAAGAGAAAAAGTCTTTATTTTTTTAAATCTCCACAATTCAACGTAAAATTTTATCAGCGAGTTGTGTATATTTAAAAGCACTGTGGTCTCTGAGCCACTGATCCTTTATTCATAACAGGAATATCAATTAACGTCAATAATTGTTGGTACCTTAAATTCTTTAAAGATAACAGACAGCAAAATTTAAAGGTAGAAAAAAGTTACACAAAGGGAGTTTTATTGACGTCCATGAAGGCGAGACTCCTTGCGCACTGAACTTCTATGAGATCTACACCAAATACATAACAGGAAACTTACTTAGTAATTATGAACTTGATCCTCGGTTTAAAGGTTAAGGAATCTAAATTCAGTCCTACAGTGACTAAAGCAACAATGCCTGACATTCCCAAAAATTCCACTGGGGAGAAAAAAAAAATGAATAAAATTAAATGCATTTAAATCTGCACACCAAGGTACTTTATCTCGAGTGAAGAATTAGTAGGAAACTTAAGAGTAGCAGTTCTTGTAAAGTTGCTTCAAAGGATTGGCCTAATCCAGTAGATCAGGGGCTGGCAAACTTTTTCTGTAAAGGGCCAAATAGTAAATATTTAGTCTTTGTGGGCCAAATGGTGCCTGTTGCAACAGCTCACTTCAACTGTTGTAGTGCAAAAGCAGCCATAGATAATATGTAAATGAATGAGTGTCCAATAAAACTTTATTTATAGACACTGAAATTTGAATTTCACGTAATTTTTACATGCCATAAAATAGTCTTTTGTTTTGTGTCTTTTAACCCATTTTGAAATGTAAAAACCATTGTTAGCTAACAGGCTGCACAAAAATAGGCAGATTTGGCCCGTAGGCTGTAGTTTGCCAACCCCTGCTGTAGACGATCACGGGGAATAGGGCTGAGGGAAAATAAGTTCAATGGCCCTCAAGGTGCTCCTTAAGCACCTCAGAAACATTGCACTGCTTGTGCTCGCAGTCACGCACCCAGCTCAGAGCTTCCTTAGTGACTGCAGTTCCTGAAGCCTGCTTTTCTTTCACCTGACATAGCCTCCCTAATTAAAGTTGTAACTCACTGGGCTCTAAGCAAATGTGTAAATGTAGTAGGAAGCAGGAAAACCAAGCGTGAAGAATGCCTGCATACCATAAATGCCAGCAGTCTGGGGTTGCAGAGTCATCAAATAGCACATTTTAAAAAGTCAGACAGAAAGGAAGAGAAAGAACGTGAGAGGGAGGAATGGAAGAGCTTTGGGGCAGGGCAGAGCTGGTTGTCTTGGAATGTGACTCTCCCCTTTCTCCCTTAGTGCCCCTGCATTTATGAAATGAGTGTAAAATAGTCATACTTCATATAGTTGTTGTGAAGATTGAATTAGAGAACATAAAAAGAGCTTGGCACACTTTTAAGGCAATGAATAAATGATAATCAATATTATTATGCTATTAATTGCTTTTATCTAATCACTTTATTGCTTAGTAAATTAATAATTTATTAATTTAAAGAGGATTTTATTATTCCTTTGTTTCTCTAATCACCTGAGTTCACTGTAGGCTTCTTTTTATCTACTTATTTAACTGAATTTAACTTAAATAACCAATGACAGCTTGGCACGGTGGTTTGCACCTTAGTCACAGCTGCCCTGGAGGCTGAGGGTGAGGATCCCTTGAGCCCAGGAGTTCGAGGTTTATAGGGAGCTGCGATCACGGCTGTGAATAACCACCGCACTCCAGCCTGGGCAACATAGTGAGATCCAATTTTTAGTCTCTAAAACAGTGATTAATTAATAATCAACCATAGTAAAACCAATGGTGCTGCCAACTGTGATGACAGGGAAACTGCCTTTCAAAATCTTATTTCCAATTCTCTATAGTCAGTATCTTATAAAGAAGGAACAGCGGGAATAATCAGCCCAGTCACAGGCAAGATAGGGTTACATGGTTTGTAGACTTTTAAAATGGTAATAAAACTGACTAAACATCTTCCTGCTTTTTATTATCTCCATTCCCCAGAAATTCTAAGTAATGTCACTTGATAAAATATCCCCCCCTGCTAGGATACACCCTCCCCTCTTCCCATCTTGGAATGCCTCTAGCCTGGACTTTCATATAACTCACATTTTTTTATGAATTATACATCAACACTCTTAAAGTGCCTTTTGTACACTAAATTCAAACTTTTCCCATGGGCTGATACAGCAACGTTCCTAGGTGCGTCACCTGTCAGCCAACCATGTCCCTTTGTCGTGTTGCAATGTCTGTGCAATTCTGTGACTATATTATTTCATGAAAAAGAATGACTGTGTTGATACGAGTGGCGTGATTTGTAAAAGTTTGGATTTCATGAATTTAACACAGTAGCAAACAAAAATGGAAATTACTATACGTGCTTTGGAGAGGTGACTCTCTAACCTCAATCAGATGTTCTCTGGACTTGAGCCAGTTGATGGTGTGTTTATTAGCGAAGGAAAAGAACAAAAATAGATAACTGTGACAGAAATGTTTACATCAGAGGATGTGAAGTGAGAATTTTATCCATATTTTAGCTTCCTGGCAATGGAACTCCTAACAGTGCCTGTTTCTGACTTTGCCGTCAGGAACTTATTAAGTGTAGGAGTAAATGACTTCCTGAGGTGGTTTTTTAATTACTGATTAAACAACAGGAACGTATTATCTCACAATTCTGGCGGGTAGAAGTCCGAGATCCAGGCGTGAGCAGGGTTGGTTTCCCGGGAGGGCCGTGACAGAGAACCGGCTCCAGGCCTGTCCCAGCATCTGGTAGCCTCGGGCGTTCCCTGCCTCGCAGCTGCCGTTCTCCCCGTGTCTTCACATCATCTGCCCTCTATGTGTGTCTGTCCCTGTGTCCAGATTTCCCCTTTTATAAGGGACCCAGTCATATTGAATTAGGGACCATCCTAATGACCTCATCTTGATCATCTGCAAAGACCCTATTTCTAAATAAGGTCGCTTTCACAGGTACTGGGGGTCAGGATTTGAGGGGACTCGATTCAAACTGTAATAGGAGGCTACCTCGCAAGCTCTCATTCTGAGTAGGGGCACAGTGCTGCCTTGAAGCTACAAAGAATCATTGGCCAAAATCAGTCCTGACACAACAGTCCTGACTTGGGGATATACAAAGGCAGTCCAGAAAGTATCCAGCCATTATTAATACTGTTTTTCATATCACACGGCTGGATACTTTCCAGAGAGCCCTTGTAGGTAAGCCTGAGTGGTTAACGCTAAATTCCTACCTTCTCTCAGTGATTCACACCCTGCAGTAAGTCTTACTAAACAAATGCAACCAAAATAAAGATATTTCCTTTCTGCTGGTAGTAGCTACAATCTCAGAGGCATAATTTCTAGAGTAAATCATCGATCTCTTTGCAGGTGCAAGAGACCTTGTACCTGCTCAGGAAAGTCAACTGTTACATTTCCAGTAATTGGGGGAGCCAGTTGTTGACCAAAGCCATCCTTGATATCAGCCATGGTGGGTGAATTTATACCATAAAAACTGGCAAACACTACAAATCCTGGCTTTTCTTTCTCCCCAGAGGGACAGTTTACCACCCCACCACTACCTAACTCAATTTCCTCATTTAACAGGTGAGGGAACTGAGGCCCAAAAGAGCTAACGTACTGTGTGAAGTAACATAGCTAGTTGGAGCTAAAGCTAAGACTAGAACCACGATTCTGGCTCAGTTCTCTGCACTCTATGAAGTCAAAAGTGGCTCATTTGTTTAAAGATCCTATACTCTACAGCTATGTGAATTAAGCACTCTCATAGAAATCAGCTGCAAATATTTTATGATACTGTTTAGTTAGCACAAAACAATTAAACCTCATACATAATGTTTAACATATTTTTGGTAAACATTTGATTTGCATTGAATTGAGTTCAACTGATCAAGCTTTTTGGTGGCATACCCATGAGCATAAGGAATCCATATGCTTAACTAGATGACAACCCTACCCCAACTTGAAAAGTTGTATATCAGGACTGGGAGTCTTCTAATGTGGAAATGATGCTAAAAGACTCAGGAACCCCATCCTATCCCCCTGCCCTCAATTCACACCCCCATACATCAGATAGGAGGATGCCAAGCATTGACTGAAAGCACCTCCATTTGTCAGAAGTAAAGGGGAAGTGAATCCGCATTTATTGACTGCCCTAGCTTAAGCCCAGTGGTGTGCCGGTAAATGTTTAAAACCAGCTTTCGGGGGTCACGGGGGAAGAAGCCCTGATCTGTAGTGTTGTAGTGTCTTCCAATTTCTGTAGTGTAAAGACTCCCACCATGGCCAATTTCAAACTACCAACGCGATGTCTCTTGAACACAGAGATGGAAAGAGATGCACACAATCAGTTGCAGCGAGCCAGTACCAGCTATCTCCAGCACACCCGCTAAGTGAGTCCCATAGCACACATTATCCCATTGATGCCTGCAGTACCCGCCATATGAGGTGGTATTATGCCACTTTTAAAGATGAGGAAACTGAAGCTTAGAGAGGTGAAGTAATTTTCCAAGTCTGCCTAACTCCAAAGCTCTTCAAGGACTAGTATTGGTTTGTTCAATCAGTACGTGTTAAATTACTATCAGGCATATGGCAAGCTCCGAACTTAGAAAAGAGAACAAATAAAAAGATGACTAAGAGACAGCCTCCACATCAAGGAACTCACAGTCTAGTAGAGAGAAAGATTAAATTAAATTTTTTCTTCAGACATTTAAGGCATCCATAAAAGCTTCACAGGGGGAGAAAAGAAATGAAGAGAGTTGAAGGAAACGAGCCTTCGTTTTCTAAAATTATAGAATGTTTTCTATAATTTTACTGATTCAGGGTAGTTAGCAATTCCCAGGTGGCAATTTATCTTTAGAAGAAGCAGTGCTTTTGGGTAACTGGATGAAAAACTCCAACTTGAAACATGAGCTCTTTCATGGATGGACGTTGCTTCACTGTGTGAGATCAGAGCAAAGGCAGAATTTAACAGTTAGGTCACAGTTACTACGACCCTTGGGGACTGGTTACCGCAGGCCAGCAAACACTTTAATTCCCTGGATTTCACTGGACTATAGTAACTGAAGGTCCCCCAGTGCTGGGCACTCTTAACTCTTATGATTATTCCACTCTCCTGCTTCTCTTCCAGATGTGAAAATACCTGATAGATATATTTATCCAGACAGAAATATACCCTCTCCTTTCCTGCCTCCTAGCCTCAGGTAAGAGCTGCCATTTCTACATTTCAATTTGGTATCCATTGAATTAAAGGCTGTTGAGCTGGAAAAGACCTCAGGAGCATCTCTTCCAGCTTTCTCGTTTTTATAAAGAGGTTGTTCAGGGTCAGAGCAGAAATGAGCTCAGTGTCGATTCCTCTTCCAGGAGACTGCCTGCCAGTCACTATATGTAAGGTGAAAGGTAGAGCTCAAAAATAATAAAAGTAACCACAGAGAAGAGTGCAAGGGGAAGAGTGCAAGTGTAGTTGAAATAAAGAGGATATTAAGAGAGACCAGGAAACAGAGGTGGCAGTAAGACAACATGACAAGACACACAGAGGGGCCACAAAAAGGAGGAGATGTTGGAAAGAAGTAACTGGATTCAAAATCAGAAAAAAGTAAAGATACGTAAATCTTACTTTAAGGACAGCATTTTTTGTGTTTGTTTCTGCCTTACCAATGTAGAAAGTCATGTACACCATTGAAAAGCAGAGAATGATATCAGTCACCGTATTGCTAAAAAGGTCAGTCAATATAAACTGAATGATTTTTGCACACCAATATCCACATATTATGCTTCCAAAAATGTCCAAGCTGAGTCCTATGACTACATATAACTCTAGAAAAAAAAAAAAGAAGAAGAAGGAAAGAGAAAATAAGAAACGAAAAGTTGAGCTATAACTTTGTTTTCATTGATGGCTTTTGGGACTGTGCACTTTGGTTTGCTCTTGAGATTTGAGTAGGGGCCTCATTCTGCAGCAGGTGGGAGTGTCTCTGGAAAGTCTGGCAAAAGAGGCTCTCTATCCTTCCCTTACAGTCTGCAGTTTGTTTAAGGTTTGCTTATCCAGGGACAGAAGACTCAAATGTCCTCAGGAGACAGGCAAGGAGTATAAATGTAAAAACCTGTGACAAACTGGAGAGTGACTGTCCAAACAAAAGACATCCAAATTTAAAATTATTATAAATGGCCCAGTGCGGTGGCTTACACCCCTAATCTTAGCACTTTGGGAAGCCAAGGCGGGAGAATTGCTTGAGGCCAGAAATTCGAGACCAGCCTGGGCAACATAACAAGGCACTCCCCCCACCTCCTACCGTCTCCACAAAAAATTTAAGAAATTAGTCAGCCATGGTGGCCCACGCCTATAGTCCCAACTACTCAGGAAGCTAAGGCAGGAGGATCACTTGAACCTAGGAGTTGGGGGTTGCAGTGAGCCATAATCTCACCACTGCATCCAGCCTGGGAGACAGAGCAAGACCTTGTCTCAAAAACAAAACAAAACAAACAAAAATTTTTATAAACTATGTTAGGGCCAAGCAAACCATGCCCAGGGGCCCTGCCAACCTGCAATCAGTTCATGATCCCTGCCACCAGCCCAGGGGGCACTTGGAAAATGAAGACGGGAAATTTTCATTAACCACAATAACTGGAGGCACCAGGGACAGTTAGTGGGTAGGTATCAGGGTAGTCCTAAAACACAAAGTCCTAAATGACAAAAATTGTCCCGCCCAATAGCTCCCTCACTGAAAATCATTGCAAACCCCTCCTTATTCTGCAATATTTCTTTTTCCTTTGGGCGCCTTCTTCCTTTTGCAACTATTGCAAAAGTACATCAGGGGGACACCTTTTCCCCCTTCATGCTGCGTTTTTCCCCCCTGTCTTCTCTACTAATACCACACTTGGAAACCTAGCAAAGCAACACGCTTCCTCTCCCAGTGAGTTTTTGCCACGGGAATCTGGCTATTGTCATTTCTAGGACCAGACTCTCCAGGACTGCACGAACCATTCTGCTCTCACCCTCAGATTTAAACCCAGGACCACACTATTTCTTAACAAGTACTCACTGAGATTCAGATGCACCCAGGAAAGAAGTAAATCTGAGGGAGGTGACGCAATTGTGCGTGTGTGCGCACGTGCATTTACACATATTGAGAGAGATGAAATCACTAACACTCTTCCCCCTTAATTTCCAAGAAAACACATACAGTCATACCTCTGACACCTATGGAGGATTGGTTCCAGAAGCCCCTGAGGATACCAGAATTGCAGATGCAAGTCCCTGATATAAAATGACATAGTATTTGCATGTAACCCACAGCACATACTCCTGTATACTTGATTTAAAAGTATGATGATTTAAATCTCTAGATTACTTATAATACCTAATACAATGTAAATGCTATGTAAATAATTATTATATTATATTGTTTGTAATTTTTTGTTGTATTGGGTTTTTGTTGTTTGTTTGTTTGTTTGTTTTCTAAAAACTTTCCTTCTGTGGTTGGTTGAATCCCCAGATGTGGAAGGCTGACTATAATTGTTTTCTTGGCACTTGATATATCATTTTAATTCATCCAAAAGTAAGATATAGGGAAAGCAGCAAAGTTAAGACATCTTGAATGTATTTTAATTTTAATGAGAATGATTTTAGAAAATAGACAAAAAAAAATGCTCTTACCCATAAACCTAGAAATGTGCATTGAGTTGCTCCGAAAAATTCCAAAAAAAATGGATGTGAAGCCACAAATGATCAATGATTCTCCTTTAATGATATCAATATACATTTTAGAAATGCCTGGAAAAGGAAACATAAAATATAAATGATGTTCTTGCACAGGAAACAAAGAAGAGATGGGACAGGATAGAAAACAAACAAACAAAAAATTTTTAAAAATTTAAAAAAAGAAGAAGAAGAAGGAAAAGAAGGTAACATTACTGATGTAATTTTCTGAAAGAAAATTACAATCACCATTTTTAAATTTCTCCATTTTGCCTCTGTATTTCCAATGGCAAAGGAACATGGCCATAGCACTCCTTGTATTGCTCATTGAACTTCAGAAAGAGGCAAATATGTCTCAAGATAACCACATGTAGCTTGAATCAGACTCCAAAACAATCTCATTTTAGACGTACAAAATATGACCCAACAGTTCTACTCCTAGGTATATACCCAAGAGAACTGAAAATGTATGTCCACACAATGATTGGTACATAAATGTTCATAACAGCATTATTCACAATAGTCAAAATGTAGAAACAACCCAATGTCCATCAGCTCATGAACAGATAAATTTGTAGTATAGCCCTAAAATGGGGTATTATTCCTCCACAGAAAGGAATGAAGTACTTATTGATACATGTTACAACATGAACCTTAAAACATTATACCAAGTGAAAGAAGCCAGACACAAAAGCCATGTATTGTATGGTTTGATTTATATGAAATTTACAGAATAGACAAATACATAGAGAACAAAATAGGTTAGCAGTTGCCAGAGGCTTGAGTAGATGTCACATCCAAATTTCCATCTGATATCATTTTCTTTCTGCTTGAAGGACCTCCTTTAACATTTTTTGTAGTGCAGGTCTGCTGGTGATAAATTCTTTCAGCTTTTGTGTGTTTAAGAAAGTCTTTATTTACCTTTGCTTTTGAAAGATATTTTCATTGAATATAAAATTCTCAGATGGCAGTATTTTTCTTCTAGTACTCTAAAAACGTTGCTACACCATCATCCAGTTTGCATTGTTTCTGAAGAGAAGCCTGTTGTTATTATTTTTGTTCCTCTAAATATAATGTGTTTTTTTTTCTGGCTACTTTTAAAATTTTCTCTTTATCACTGGTTTTAAGGAATTAGATTTTTATGCACCTTGGTGTAGTTTTCTTTGTGTTTCTTGGGCTTGGTGTTTATTGAGCTTCTTGAATTTGTGGCTTTAATTTTTAATCAAATTTAGAAATTTCTTCACTATATTTCTTCAAATATTTTTCATTCCTCCCCCTCTCTCCTTTCTTTTGGGGATTCATACATTCGGTCATTTGAAGTTGTCTACAGCTCACTGATACTCAGTTCATTTTTTTCCAGTCTTTTTCTCTCTGTATTTTATTTTAGGTACTTTCTATTGTTATGTCTTCCAGTTCACTAATCCTTTCTTTTGCAGTACCTAATCTGCTATTATTAAGATAAATTACAATCACCTCATCTTACTACTTGTTACCAACTTTGACTATGACAGAAGGCACAAAAATACTGGTTAAACACATTGGGAGATTATTAGCACATTTGATTTACCTGGTGAAGAAATCCTTCAATTCTTCTCTTAGATTCAGTAAATTAACTGGGGCAAGTAAAGTACAAGGTTTGGTGTATAAAGTTTTGAATTTGATTTACACTTATTTTTAATAGTAAAATACCACAAGAATTACTCTCTACCTTCTTTATTGGCTTAACATGGAACTACCTTATGCTGATGCATTGTAAGACCTGGAAAAGGAAAGAATAAAACAAAAAACTTCTATAATTTCATGACCCAGATATAACCATTTTAACAGTGTAGTTTTTTTCTGAGCATACAATTCTTTTTATTCAATTGAGATCATACTAAAACTTCGTGTCTTCTTCTTTTATAAGATCCTCTTCCAGATTTGCTTTAAAATAACAATTATTTGAGTCCTATGTGATCTTTTAGAACAGGTAATGAATAGACAAATTCCTTTTAACTTCCATTTGAACATCCACTACATTTTTCAGTGAGCCAATCCATCTCAGATTTAGGTTGTACAAGTTTTACAATGCAGAAGGGCACCTCATCTAAAGAAGCACCATTAACATTGTAGAAGCTGTAGTTTTGTATATTATGATAATTTAAGGCATAAGGCAAAAAATAGTTGTTCCTTTAAAAAATTAATGTATTATGACAATTAGATAGAAGTAAATTGCTTCGAAGGACCATTTATCCAATCTACACAAAGGAACTATATGGTGGTCCTGCCAACATCAAAAATAAGTGAGAGTGATTTTCCACATAAAAACAAGTCAAATTTGTCTTACTAGGAAAAAATGCTACTGGATCCAGAACTCATGTACTAACTGAATGTTATTGACATAAGGAAAATATCAGTTAAGAACCAGCCAAATACCTTCATTAGTTTTGTCTTAAAGAAATAGAAGACTTTCTACTGCTCTTTTGAAAAAAACTTTAATATTAAAACTGCAATAAACAACATTGATAATTTATTATAATGATTTACAGTCAAGAGATTGCAGAAAAGGGAGTGGGACGAGCATGAGGTAATAAAACAAGGGCCCATACAAGTGGCTAAAAGAGAAAGGTAAAGGAAAGATAGAAAAAAAAATTGTATTCAGGGCAATAATGAGAAAAAAGAGAACAGGATTATACTCTTTGAGAAACATAATTACCTTGAAACAATTTCTAACATCCCCACAAAAAGTACCTGAAACCCTCCTGTGTTTTCCCAGCTGTAGGTAAAAATGGGTATAAAAATAGGAATATCACATGCCGGAAAGGTGGGAGGTTTCTCGCTCCAATAATAAGGTTATATATTTCTACTAAATACAACCAATACTTCCAATATTTCTGAGTCAAAAACAGAAACCATAGCATCTAACCATTTCATGTTATACTGCTGTGTTAATAAAACATGACAATAGGGGGCTATTGCAGAATGGAATCATCTTTTATCTTACCAAGTAAGACAGGAAGTAGTGCAGGATCCCAAACCCTCTTGGAATAAGCTTTTATTAAGTCATATATTTGAGAGCCAGACTAAAACTTAGCCCTTTTCTTTGCAATAAACTACTACCCCTTTACCACCTGCCCAAACCTTAGCCATTCCAAAATGGAGGCAGTTCTAACAAGAGGTAGCAAGGCCTTGGAAAAGTCTCACTGGGGGTCTTCATTTTTTCTCTGAATTGGTAAACACACTCACTAACTTAGAATCTCTACCTTGTGGCTTAGAATTCACTGGAATGGAATAAGAATGTCAATTTTTATCACCTTCTAGAAAGGTTACATTTTCTTCTTAAAAATATCCTTTGAGATTATAATTGATGCTGTTTATCCCAGATCCTCAGCAGTTATCTTATTTGCACTGTCTCCTTCAAGTCAAGCAATGCTTCATTCCCAAGAAGAGCACAAATTCCTACTCTGCTTGGATGTGCAATTCATGCAAAAAATAATAATCAAAAGAAAATAATGTATCCTTATATTTCAAAGATAAGAGAGAAATAAATTTGACATACCAATACTTTTCATTGAAGTCACAGAATGAATAGGATCTGTAATGCTGAGGATGATGCTAAAGAGCAGGCAAGATTGAAAATCCCATGAACTTTTATTGAATTTCAGAACCACATATGCAATTATCATGAATGCTATAGAAAAGCTAATTAATCCAGTAGACAAGACCTGTGAACCAATTCATAACACAGTATTAGATTCAAAGACTAAAGATGGCATCACTGCATTTACTTATGCTCCAACAGTCAGATGCTGGTTACAAATTATATACAATAACTCTGGAAAATAATAACTTTAAAAAATATTCTGTTCCCCATTGTATGTTTTTGTCTGCTTTGTCAAAGATTAGATGGCTATATGAGGATGGTTTTATATCTGTGTTCTCAGTTCTGTTCCACCGGTCAATGGCTCTATTTTTGTGCCAGTACCAAGCTGATTGAATTATTATAGCCTTGTAATAAAGTTTGAAGTCTGGTAAATTGATACCTCTCATTTTGTTTTTATTGCCTAGAATTGTTTTTGCTATGCGGGGTCTTCTCTGGTTCCATCCAAAGCAAAAAATTAATTTTTCTACAACTGTGAAGAATGATGTTGGTATTTCAATAGGGATTGCATTGAATCTGTAGACCACTTTGGGTAGTATAGACATTTTAACAATGTTGATTCTACCAACCCACGAGCATGGTATGGGTTACCACTTGTTTACGTCCTCTGCTATTTCCTTCCGCAATGTTTCATACCTCTCCCTGTAGAGGTCTTTTACCTCCTTAGTTAAATATATTCCTAGGTACTTTATTTTCTTTGTTGCTATTGTGAAGGGAATTGAGTCTTTGATATGGTTCTCGGTATGACTGCTATAGGCGTATATGAAAGCCTCTGA